GTCGCAGCGCCTGCAGCTGCTGGGCCACCTTCTCCAGCTCCGCCTCGATGGCTGACAGGCTCTCCAGCTCCTGGTCCTGGGGGAGAACGCCGAGGGTTATGCAGGGACTGGCCCAGGCCGGCATGCTGGAGCGTGCCGCCAGCAGACGGGTGGTGTGGCGAGCCGGGTGGTCTTGGACATATGGCTTTGTCTCGGAGCCTCGGAGGCCTCTGTGTACCATGGGGACCGTGATGTCACTGTACCAGGCTGCTCTGAGGAGTGTTGTGCAAGGCCTGGTTCCTGTCTGCTCCAGGCCTCCTACCTGAGCGGCCAGGGGCCCATGACATGGGCTAGACTGAGGCTGTGGGAACTGCCCGATCCACCTGCCTAGGCTCGGCCTCAATCCTTGGTCCCAATCAGGGGACTCGACAGGGTGGTTCAAGGGCACACCCTGTATAGCCCGGCTGGGTGCCCCAACCTCGGGAAGCTTCCAGGGCCCCAAAGCCAGCTCTGATGCCCATGAGACTGTGCCCTCGAACTCAGAGCAGGAGTCAGGGAAGGCCACCCCCTGGCCCTGACTTGGGAGGGGTGGTCTTCCTGGGGCCCAGGGCCTCCTCCAGCTCCAAGGCTGTCCCCAGCCCTGCCAGGGACCCCAGCTCCCACCCCCCCTCCTGTGGGGCTGCAGCTCTGCGCCCCATTGAGCTTCTCAAGTATCCCTGGGCGCGGCCAGGGTTTCAAAGCTCACATGGATTCTGATCGTGACAATGAGGTGAGCAGGAAGGAGCCCTTGCCCCCCAGGGGTACCCATGAGGTTCAGAGGAGAGGGACCTGCCCAAGGTCACACAGCCAGGAGGAGGCAGCACCCACCTGCTACCCCCTCACCCCCAGCAGGAGGTCCAACTGGCCCCGCCCCACCCCGCCCCCTCTGCCTGGACCTGGGAGCAGAGGGTGTGCGTGGGCTGCCTGGGGTCCGGGAGAGGACCCAGCTGGATCCCCACAGGGCTTCCCAGGACACCCCCTGTCCCTCAGTGTCCCGTCCTCATGCCCTCCCAGCTCTAGGCCCAAAGGTGCCCTGGGCTTGGGTCCCCTGGGCAGCGAATGGCCTTCCTCAGACCAGTGCCTGCGGGTCCTTTAGTTTCCCAGCTCTCTCCACCCAAAGCTCCAGCTCCCATCACCCTGCCCCCATCCCCGCAGAGGCCCCGGCTGCTCAGGGCATGGCGTTCAACACCTTCCCCCTCTCCGCTCCGGGCACTGCCCTGAGCACCTCCCGCCTCCTGTCTGCCAGCTTCGCTGGGTGCCCCTGTGAGCGGGCTCCCTCGCCTTCCTGCCTGGCACGC